GACAATGCACCTGCACATGGTGCCAGATATACGACTGCCTGGTAAAAGAAGATTGGCATTAAAGAGGACAATCTAATGATATGGCCTCCCTGCTCCTTATTTTCTCCCTGCTGCTTATTTTCTTTAGGATACTGTTGTGTGCTCCGACCATTGAGTTTGTGTTGTCAGACGAATAAGTAATGCAATTTGTTCCAATCCAATGAGAGGTAATCTATTACTTCATTGCAAATATCATACATCTTTTGAGCTGTAGACCCACTGTTGATATTTGGCATATCAAGCAATGAGGTCTCGATTAAATCAGAGGTTTTTCTAACGTGTTTAACCAAAATTGGTAAAAATTTATCATCCTCATCACTGCTTCCATCTGTAGCTAAACCATACCACTGGGTTGATGACAATTCTTCCTTCAAATCATCAGTAAGGTGCTTTGCAACTGATCCAGTAAGCATGTGAGACGTTTTAGTGTGTTTTATTGGCTATTTTTGAATCTGGAAACATAGATGTAAATACTTTCCCAGCATGATCTGCGGTGGCGAAAGGAAGGTTGTGTTCAACTAAGAACCCAGCAAAAAATAACTCAGCCTTGGTTATCTTTCGGTCCAAATCTGAAGTTGCTGCAATTGCTCCCTAATCAGTTAACTTTCTTTGCTTTTGCAAAGATTCAACGCACTCCTTGTGCTTTGGAGTTGCGGCATGTCTAGTAATGTTGTTTTACCCTCATGTCCGATACTAAAATCACATCTACAGACAGAACATGAAGCAAAGTTTTTACCTTAAAAAAATTTTCTGATAAAGTTAAACTTTTCGATCCAATAAGTCTTTAAATTTAACAAAATATTTCTTCTTTTTTGGAACTGGTTGAGTTGACTCCGCCATCGATCTTTATTTTACAGTTTCCAGGTGACGTGACAAACTTTATTATTCTCTTATGTCCCTTGCAAGCAGGAAAAATCCCTTTAAGTACCTTTTGCATCCTTGAGCTATATATTTATCGCTAACAATATGGCAGATTTCGAAACGAATGCTTTGCAAATTCAAATAAAATAAAACTTTTTAGTTAATATGAATTTAAAATTAGCATGCTGTAAACAAATCTGGAGTTTTACGTAATTTTCCAAAATCGTGCGGGAGGTAAAATCGAGCAACAAAAGCGGGACTCTCCCACCAAATTGGGGGAGTTGGCATGTCTGAATTATGAAATGTTAAAATTGCCACATACTTGAGAGGACATGGTTTTATTGCCTCTATCATGGTAAAATAATTGCCATATTTAACCCCATTAAGCTCCAGAGCTTATTTTGAAAAAAAACACATTAAAATGGTATATAGTATCATGTTACTTTCTGGTTTACTAAGAGGAATGTAAGATGCAGAAAATGTTTTTGCACACATTGCTAGGGGACTAGTTTCAGTCTTCATGGCTTTGAATGCCTTCCATGTTTTCTGATATACACAATCAGAAAAAAATTAACTCATTTTAGTATTTGCTGTTTATTGATTATAGTACCATAAATGCTACATTTACTTTCCAAAGGTATTCATGGGTACAACTATTCTACATTTAATTACCTGATAAAGCTGTAATGCAACACTTGATTCTACTAAATGGCATTTTCATTCAACAAAGAATCTGGCTCATAGTTTAAGGAAAAAGACTCCAGGGCCCATTCAGTTTCATTGAGCAATTCCAAAAATGATGGATCATCCACAATTTTAGAAATCTCTTCATTAGGACTATCATCATCAGATTCCAGTTCTTCAATACATTGGACAGGTACATCAATATCTGCAAACACTTTGCCAAATATTTCAAGTACATCATTAGCATGTGTTTTTTGTGGGTAGCCTGCGCATGCGCGGCTAACCACTATGTAGTCGAAAAAGTGTCCGGATCTGTGTGTGTGTGTCTGTGGCAATCTTCGGCAAACGTCGGACATACGAAAGATGATGAACGGTACGTTCTACTTCCGGAAAATTTCGTTGTTTTCGAAGGACGGAAGCATTTGAAGCAACCGAAGTTACGTTAATACGTTTGTCAAATTTTAAAGCGAAGTTGAGTACTTTAAAGACGAAAAAGAGGTGATCGGTGAGCGTTGAATCTACAACTACAAAGTTACACTGTTATAATGCAATATTTCACCTGTCAATTTCTTAGTTGTGGACATGCAGCTATTAAACCAAATACATTACCTTATTGCAAATGGTAGTAACAAGTTGCCCTGTTTTATAAATTATAATTTGGCAAATGGTAGTAACAAGTTGCCTTGCTTTATAAATTATAATTCAATATTTCACCTGTCAATTTCTTGCTTGTGGACATGCAGCTATTAAACCAAATACATTACCTTAATGCAAATGGTAGTATCAAGTTGCCCTGTTTTATAAATTATAACTCGGCAAATGATAGTAACAAGTTGCCCTGTTTTATAAATTATAATGCAATATTTCACTTGTCAATTTCTTGCTTGTGGACATGCAGCAATTAAACCAAATGCTTTGGAGTTCAAAAAACAAAACTGTTAACAAAAGTGCATTTCAACTGATCAAAAATCTTTAAAATATTGTTCAGATACATAGATAAGTCCTTAAAAAATGTTAATGTGAAACATTTGAAACAATTTTGGACTCTTTGTTATGTAACTGTAAAATGATCTGGCAAATCAAGTAGTTTATCCTCAATGAAATCTTTGTTAAGATCTTTCTCCTTCTAAACTAAGCTTTATGTTAACAGAGGATGTGTGCCACCATCCCGGAACCTTACTCTCCTTTTTGTTCTGTTCACCTATTCTGCTTAAAAAATTTCATTTCCTATCTCTTGTAAAAATGCTTTTATATATGTTTTGATCTGTCCTAAAATGTATTTAATACAATAAAATATTATAATATATAGATTGCATAATAAATCGACTTCGTTATAACTGTATTCAACCAGCTAACTATAGGGCGTTTATTCTGTTGTCTATGGCATTAGAACATAAGACTAGAAAATAATATTTTATTGCATCAGTTGATATTTACTCGCCACTATAGCAGCTTTATCGCATTAATAATGTTTTACAGGCTACCCACATGTACGCATTGCGTACCTATTTTTTCCAAATATCAACACTTTCCAATATGTCATCCACAGTAAATATTGTATCTGCATGATTTAAAATCTGATCTATTTGATCTTTTCCAAATTCCGATAAAACATTAAGGTAACACACGGCAATAGCGGTGTTATTTACATCACTAACATCTGCTTTCATGAGCAACTTTTTTTGTAGCAAACTTAGTTCAAGAATAAGTTTCTCTTTCTCTTTCTCTTTCTGGACACTTTTCGGTTTGGTAGATTTGTTTGACATGTGTAATTTAGCTTTTTCTTACAAGCAACAATTTTACCCTTTTACAATGTTTGTATCTAAAGGCAACCCTTTTTTTATGAACACCACTTTGTCTTTGCTTAATAACACAAATATAGGGAATATGGAATATATGAGGTTTTTAAGAGGAGATTTTTTACAAACTAGCGTATTGAGCGCTCAAAACCAATCAGATTGCTGGAGCCTGGAGTATGGAAGTTGATAGAAGCAATTCCATGTAAACATGGCGGCCGGATTTCAAATAGTATGAGTGTTTCAGTGCCGTTTTCACAACCATAACTCTCGGAAAGTTATGCAAATTAACAGAAAATAAAAAGCATGTGATCACATGGCGAGAAATTGTGGACACAAGTGGGAGGAGCTTATTTTGTTGCTCTCACGCGCCATACATGAAGTACACAGGACATGATAAAGTTTCAACATGGCGGCCGCTACTAACAGAAGTACTAAGAGAAGCGCGCATAGTCCAGGGTTTTTTTGCGCATTGAACAATTTTTCAACGGCAGATTTCTCTCTCCCCACTAAGAGACGGAGAAAGACGCTAGAAAGCGGCCGACTCTATTCGGTGGAAAGAGTTCTGGCCAGTCGAAATTTGAAAGAGGTAATTATATATGTAATATTAAATTGGTCAACCGATTTAATAAGATGCAAACAAATGTATATTTGATCCTGTAATTTTTCAAATTTATTAAAAGGGTAAAGAATTTCTGGTGAAGTGGCTGGGCTACAGCTCATCTGAGTCAACGTGGGAGCCTCTAGAACACTTATCGGAGGAATGTATCAGGCAAGTATTTAAAAATAAACATTTGTTATTCTTGCACTAATTTTACTCCAATAACATATCAGCCTTCTTAGTTAGTAAAATACTAATCAATTTGCATGCACGAGAGGTTAAGTTTCATTAAATCTTGAATATGTTATTCATAAATTATTTAAATTCAACCCTGAATTTTTATAGGTACTTCAATGAGCCAACTCCTTCCAGGAATGTGACATTGGTTGAAGTCAGTCGGCTCAGAGTTGCTATTCACCAGTCACTAAACAGCCCGCGAACAAGATCACGTGTGACGGTGGAGTTCCGTCAGGATGTCTTTTCCTTTCTTTTTATGGGGAAAGGTCGAAGGCATGGACTCTGGTTGCTGCTAGAGAAAGAAGATTTTAAGGGACTTTTTTCTCAAAGAACTGGGACAATTTGCTTGATCGTCATAGTCAAGGAACAAAGCTAAATTTCCCTGTAAAAGTTAGACATTTCATATCTTGGTCACCAGCACACCACATTGTTGACACATCAGGAAATGTTGCTCCATCACCCAGGTCTTATCTGGAAAAAATGTCAATGGATTTTATTAAAGTAGCTGCATGAAAATTTAGTAAAAAATACATTCTGGTGCACACTACTTTAATTTTTTTTCTGTCTAATGGTATTTATTCCATTGATCATGAATATGGACCATTGACATTTTTTCCTTGGTTATGTAATTTCCTTATCTGTCAACAACATGTTGTGGTGGGACCAAGATATGGAATTGTGTACTATATTTTCATCATCCATCTTATTGTCTATAATATAAATAGAACACTCATTGAATATTTATGTACATTTATATCATGTATATATTATTTCATATATATATTATACACCTATATACATCAGAGATTAACTATCTTTTCTTAGTTTTCTTTGTTTTCTTTGCCTTTTTTGTTTCCTTTTGCCTGTTTCTTTGTTGTACATTTGCATTTGCAGGTGGTATGCTGCTGTTGCATTCAACAATTGTAGAGGGAGCATCCATCCTCTGCATACTAATGCTCTTCTTTTTTTTACTGTTAGTGGCCTCTTGCTTCCCACCATTCCAAAATGCAGTTGCAACTTTTTTGTATGGTCTTTTCCTCCTTTCTCTCTTGTACAAATTGGTAAGTCTGTGCTCTGCTCGTATCACCTCAGCAGGGCTGTCAAAATTGTTGGACTTACGAAGGACTATGCTTCTGGCAACGTCATTGTTTTTTTCTACACCTATAATAAAAGTGCAGAGAATGAAAAAATGCCATATCTCATGTTTGTACAATACAAATAAAAGAGAGTCGTACCTTGTCCACTAAACTGTTTCAAATTCTTAAATTTGTCGAGAACATCCTGGATATGATATGCTGCTGCATGCATATAAGGTGTGATATTTTTATTTGCATAACCTTTTCTGTCGTGTTGCAAAGTGAGAAACAGTGTTATCCAGCATCGTATCTGAAATTGATATTAAAATGCATGCAAAAGAATTTTTCAGATAATCAACTATGTAGCCCTTGATATCATTATATACCACCCATTGCAACCACTTTGCATTAATAATATCAACACACAACAAGAGTACTTACTCGAGATCCACATGTTTCCAGTTCGACCGGATTATTTGAAGAAATGCAGTTGAAGTATATGTCACCAAAATGCTGTTAATGAAAAAGTTAAATTAACATTAGCCTAGTTGGTGGTATTACACCCTGATGAGCCCTACTTTAGATTTACTCTGTCTAAGGGCAGAAGATTTTCCTTACAAGGAGAGAGCACTAGAGCTTAACATAGAAGTTAGAGGTTAGCATAATGATGGTAGAAGATACTGGTTTTACCCATATAGCTGCATGCATTCACCTATATTTATAACCTGAGGTAAAATATTAAGTATGACATGCGATATGGGATAATCCTTAATCCATTACTGGGCATAAGGATACGTGTACAATACAACACAAGATACGGTCATTGCAGTGAAAACACACCATTTGGAATATTCGGCCACTCTAGCTCATTTAATGCTAATGATGGAGAAATGTGAACAAGAACAAGGTATATATAACCTATTATGCAGTTCTGCACATAGCTCATTAACTACATAACCTCTCGCTCTCAACAGACAAGGCATGATCAATATATATGTAGGATTTCCAATACTTGTTCTACTTTAATTTGCAGTGTTTATAAATCTATTGTGCTTTGGTCATAAAGCCCAATGTCTACACATATTCCTATTATCTACGATGTTTGAAATGTCATGTCTTTTAATATAAGGACAATTTATTTGAACTATGTAGCTCAGAAATGTGTGCTGATTACGGATAGCGACGAAGAGGTCCTGGTGAAGAAAGTCAAGAGACCAATAATTAGGAAGAGACAGAAAAAAAGTAAAGACAAAAAAAGGAAAAAGCAGAAAAAACAAAAAAAATACGACAGTGGCGAAGACACCGAACCCTGCTCCGCCGATGAACAAACAGCACGTAAGCGCCGCAAAACAGAAACAACAGACGAAACTTTGTATCCGCCATTAGTACGGCAGAATGCAATGACCCAACAAGAGCATGAAGAGATTATCTCAAATATTCGAAGTTTTAGGGAACCTAATAAATGTGAAAAAAGTGGGGACTGCTGCTCATAAACGTATGGACAAAGTAAGGAAACGGTGGAGTCTGCCGGACTATACCTTCCAGAGTTTAATGACTGTGTCTGCAGTATCCTGATGAATAATTTCTTCAGTGCTTAATTGGAGTTTATCAGGGAGGGTATGTAGCAACTTTTTCTTCTCAGCACCCATCAACGATGTCCAGTCCATCTTTCCAATCCCTTTACCATCATCATCCCGTTTCTCCCACACATTAAATGTTACACCACAGCTATTTATGAGCTGTGCAAGCCTCTGTAAGCAGACCCCTTTGGGCTCCCCTTTCTTCTTCAAGAAATCCTTCTTGTCATCTAGCTCCATAGCATCCTCTATTAAGTTAGATAACAAGATATCTGTAACTCGAAGAAGAAGGTGGAGCTCATCCAGAACAATATTAGAGAGTGGAACATCCAGTAAGGGCATATCTTTGCAACAAAATTGTTTCTCTGATGCACATTTCTTCACATCAGCCAATGTCAGAGCCATAGATGGTTGGTTATAGTAATCTCCTGACTTTGTCATATCCCATCTGAAACAAACATTTAATTAAATACATCATGGAAAATTTCTGTAAATCAACACTGTAAAGTATTACTATATAAACATCTAGATTTAAATGCAATGAAAAGGAAAAAGGAGCTTTCCACAACTCCAATTAAAATACCTTTGATCCTTATGAATTGTACACCACAAACAAGCATAATTTGCATTTGCTGCAGCACGTCCACTAATGAGTAGGAGAAACTGTAGAAAATGACAAATATATAATAAAAACTGGAGCACAAACTTGGGTTGTTTTTGTGAAAACTGACAAGCATGATAATGTAAATGACAGCAGCAATAGAAATATTCTACCTTATAGTCACCACCAAGAAATACTTCAACTGGTATGGCATGTCCTGGGTTTATTTCAACTTGACCATCATGAATGACTTTGTTAATTTCATTCCAGCAGTCTTTAAAACTAACTTTCAGGGACTCATAGCATTCTGTACCACTCATTACCCACTCATCAACCACTGGTTGGGACAAAAGATTGTTTATATTAATAGATCCCAGTTAAATGGTTGGTTAATTCATATTGCCATATAGGCTTTTCCCCCATAAAATAACTTGTTTCAACCAGGGTGTGAAACATTTTCAGATTAAAACTCAATATTGTTCATTTTTTTGCCATGTCATTTTTTTTCCTTATAGTATGCATTAATTATGTGAGATGGCATGAACACCAGATTTATGAGTTGTACAGATTTTATGTATACCTTTGGCAGCTAAAACATCTTTTGAATCATCCAGCACACAGTAACTCAGAATAACGTAATTTGTTAATCTGGTCATTCTTGCTCCATCACCACTTATCTTCACTTTCACCTTCTCACCAGCTGTTAGTTTGCCATCTTCAACCTGAATGTTAACAAAAATGAGTTACAGTAAAGAGTACCAAAAGAAATATACAGTACATTTGAAACTTAATTGTACTCACCATAAGTCTCAATTTGTCAACAAGGGAATCTTTGAATGATATCTGTGCACCAGGTGCTGCTCCCGGGGTTGGTTTTACTGCACAAATACTGTTTAGTTTGTTCCGACATTGTTTGATTAAATATGACCTAGGCATACCCTCAACAACCATTGAGAGTTCATGTATAAATGCATCTCCTACTGCAAATTTGTCCATTAGGAACAAAATAGCTTCTACCTTGCACTTTCCATCAATTGACAATTGGTCGTATTGATTATTTTTTGACTTAGGCAGTGCAGTTGGTGTTGAGGATGTCGAAGGGTTTAGCGTTATGTGCGGTATGGGGTCTGCTGTTGGTAGTGGTTCTGGGGAAATTGGAGATGTGGCCTTTGAGGAAGGTGTTGTATTCCAACCATATTTCTGGCCATTGCTGTCAAGAAACTCCACTCTATCTAGCTCAAGCCCAAAGTGCTTTGCAAACCATAATGCCTTTTCAGCCCTTGTCCCAAGTGCTTGCAGTCGCCTCTTTTGCTGTCGCTTTGACAAGTCGCCAATATTCTTAATAACAGGTGAACAGTTGTCGTCAGTTTCCTTCTCTAACATTCTCACATATTTTTTCATTTCGTCATTCTTATTCACAATTTCTGAAATTTCCAAATCTTTCTGAGCTTTCATTTCATTGAATAAAAGTTCCTTCTCTTTCTCTAAGTTGTGGTACTCTTTCTTTCATTCCTCCAACTCAACGTTTAAATTGTCCAAGCGTTCTTGTATCTCTTGCAGTGCCACTTTTGAGCGTTTGATTTCTTGTTCCATTTCAGCTGCTGTAGCGACATCACTCACTAAAATGCTCACTTTAGACATACTGTTTAGAAATGTCACACGTTTCGCCTTTGAACCTTTTAAGTTAAGTTGCTTAACCTGTTTGCTTACTTTCAAACATTGATACCTTAGCCGGTCTTCAACTCTTAGAGATGCGCGTTTGATTTTAATTGATCCATTGGGGATGATTTCGTTCAGAAAATCCACATACTTCTTGTGCTCAGATTTCGAGTTGTACCACTGCAACAATACGCTATTGTGAATAGCCATGCAGTACATAACCTGATCGTCCGATATTGCTTGTTTAGCGACATATGACAACTTATTCGATGGCGGGTTGGCGTTTATAAGTAATTTAAGAGTCTCTGAAGAAACGTTTGCATCAGACATTTACAAGCCTGTTGGTTTGGTCTATATGTTACAGAAAAATAAATCGAACTTCTACGGATGTTTAAATATATTGCGTTTGATGTTATGAATATTGCGCGAAATTTAAATATGGCGCGTAATCAATATTTATAATTTCAGCCATACACGTCAATATTCACGAATATATAACGTTGTTGCTTGGATACTATAAGGCCTGGTCACACGGCTCTTACTTTTCGGAGTCTTCGACACCCTCAACAACAAAATGGAGGCATATTCGAAGAAGAAGGAACGGTTTCTTCGTTTGTTTATGTTCGCCATTTCGGCAAGCTCTAGCGTGTAGTATCAAATTTCATTGCCAGAATATATCGAAATGTCTGTGGAACTATTCTAAAAACCGAACCAGGCGTTAATCGCCGAGATTAGAGATGCAAAATAGCTTGAAACATAGTGCATTGGCAAGCCAAAGGAGATGCAACATGTCGTGTTTGTCTCCCAAAATGGAACAAAAATGGAATTCTTTGAGACCTCCTTGGAGTATTTTGCCTATTGCGCTATATGTTATAATTCACCTTCGGTGGTAGCGAAATATCGCGATACCGAATGAAATTTCTATATTGCTATATTACAGATTTCGCTTTAGATACGAGTTATCCCCAAGATCTAACTATATCAGATGCAACATCTTATGTTTTGTGAATAAAATATGATATATGACGCTTTTCTTGGTAACTCCCGTACAAATATATAATAATACGTTCGGCATTTTGGTTTACAAATATGTTTATGTCCCGGTGCCTAACGCGCATGCGTGTCCACAATTTCTCGCCATGATCTAAAGATATGAAACTTCTAGACAAAATGGATTCACGGTTTGCCAAATAATTAAGGACGGTGGAATGTTATACAAGAGTTCGCTATGATTGCAGTTCATAGAAGTTAGGATTGTATGATTATCATTTTACTGTTTTTTTAGCTAGGTAACTGCCTGTGATCACAATGAATAAAATATAATGTAATCCTTTGACATATCAGCGTTTAAAAATTGCAGTTTCGTAGAACTTTTAGTGCCTAATCTTACTAATATACCATCTTATTTCACAAACAATTCAATATTGGAATTGCTATCGGAAAAATGTATTATAATCAGCACTTTTGATCGTATATCTTAAATATTAGACGGAAATATTGTATTGTACGAGATTTTCTTTTGCAATAGATGTATGTTATATAAAAGCATGCATTAGTTTTAAAATTCAAACATTAGATGTACCTAAACTAATTGCTGAGGTTTTGCTTGATTTGACATGAACTTAAAACATTAGTCTATTGCTAAAACCTATGTTCAACACTGGAAAATCACCCCAAAAATGTTTCCGATCAAACTAATTCATATTTTGCAATACACGCTGGGTATTGTAGTTTACAAAAAGTATAGTTTGATTTAAATTTGGGTGGTAGATCCATGGTCGTTTTTTGACATTTTCAAAATCAAGTAATTTTCCAATTATCACAGCACATATTTACCTGACATCTCAGAATAGCTATCTGCTTCTTTAGTAGAATTTGAATAGAGATACTTTGAGCCATATAGACACCTTCCTTAGTTCATATTACAAAATCCATAGCAATTAATTTACTGAATAAACAATTTTCATCTAAAAAATCCATAGGTTTTTATTTAGGTCATTTTTGTCAAAAAGGGACTTTATGCGAAGGAACTTTAAGTTTAGCCATTAAAATTAGGTGCAGAATTGTTTCTGATCAAACTAATTTATATTTTATGATAAGCCCCAGTTATTGTAGTGTGCAAAAAATACAATTTTGTTCAAATTTGGGTGGTAGGTCTGTGGTCGTTTTTTGGCATTTTTAAAATCAACCATAAGTTGTATATTTACTTTAGGCATTAATATACCAAATGAAGTGGCACCTGTATTAACAATATTATTGATACAATGGAAATACCTAGGCAATTATATTTATAAGGGGTTGCTGTGAAAACAATAACTAGTGGCACAATAACTTTGGTGGTTGCCAATGTAGTTAAGGTGGCTTTGTTAGGTTTTTTCACTTGAAAGAAATGTGCTAGGATTATGTATTACATCACATTTCCTTGTGTTTAACCATAAAAAAAAACAATGCAAATGTTTCCAATCAAATTTTCTCTGTATTCACAAAGATGAATATTATAATTTGAAAGCACTTGTAAGTATTTGACTTCCTCCTAATTATTACAGTATAAGTGTAGACTAAGTGTAGTACACTATTTATTGAAATTATTTATATAATATTTTAACAACAAAGTTCCATTATAATGTACAGCTATATGTACACATATATCACACTATATGAACAGCTGCATAATTTTGGAATGAATTGTCCCATGATTGTTCCACCAATTGTCCTACATGTCCCATATTATGTACCCACCACACAAGGAATTCATTGTTAAAATAGAGAGGGCAGTTGTTTTTGAAATAAATCAAAATAGTTTGACTTTCTTTCTTGTGTTGTTTCTTGAAATAGATTATTTAGGGTCTTTTTTTATTATTGTATCTTCAAGCTACCACACATAAGTGACATAACCATCCACTATGCCAGTTTAGTAGTTTACTGGTATCTGAAACTATTGTTCATATTTTCCAATATGTGTTGGAGATCTAGGAATAAATACGTTTACATTTGAGAATTTCATTATATCACAAGGTTAATTCCAAATCACTAAAATCAAACTTAATCAGTATATTTCAATATGTTTATACTTTAGTGTGTGACTGTGTCACTCCTTCGCACGAATAAAAATGTACGCATGGAAAATTATATCATTCAAAATACTGAAAAAATTAAACGAACACTCACCTGATTTTCTTCTTTATTTGAAGGAGCTTTTCGCCTTTTGAAATTCTCCAAAAGTTAGTAAAACATCTGTCTCTCTACACGAAAACTTAACCAAACTTGTAAATTCAAAATGGCTGCGAAGCATATTTTAGCGAAGGCCTGGTTGCTAAATTTTGAGCAATTTTGGGCAAAAATACGTGAATTTCTTAAAAATCTCCTCTTAGTCGTATAACAGCACAATTGTCCACAGGGTCATTGTTACTGAATAAATAAAGTATAGGGTTTGCAAACAATAGGGGTTTTATTTATGTATATTCAGATTCTATCAACAGGATTTTTTTGTGCGCTTTTTTGGGGTATTACAAACAAACAACTTTGGTAAATAACTGAAGATAGCAAATGAAATGCAAGTTCTGGTTATAGCCCTAATACATTTGAATAATGTTGTTGTGTGTTTAACATCGGTATATTTGCCGACTCTTCAAGCAGCAGCGCAAGAGGAATACGACGTGATTAGGAATAACGAGTCAATCCAATCACTTCTTCGTTCTTTCACTCATCTTTCTCGGTCGCTTAACGATTTACTGGCACTGGCAGGCTACATAAAAATAATAATAATAATAATAATAACGATTTAATTGAAGCATCTCTACATTGTAGCTCTACATCTTCAATATACTATAGTACAAATGTTATAAACTAAATTATATTACAATTATATAGAATATTAGAATAAATAAGAAATGTTAAATTGAAATCTATTCACTATGCATGAATGCATAATAATAATCGTTCTCTAGCATTGTTCAACAATAATTGTTTCACTTGTCTTATTAAAGATATAAAAGGCGTAGTACGTGGTATTCAGTTCTTTCTTTAATAGGAAGCCACCGGAGCTTCTCTAAGTTAAGGACAAAGCCTGTTAAGGACAAAGCCTGCTGCAACTTTTGAATCCGCTGCAGTTTTCTTACCAAGTACTGTGGAAGTGGATAACACACTACATCGTTATAGTCAAGTTTAGACATAACTAAACTTTCCGCAAGTTGCTTCCGCACGTTGAATGGGGCTAAGTTCTTCAGTTTTCGAAGGGTGAACAAAACGGCGTAACATGACGAGGATAGATGTTTAATATGATCTGTCCATTTAAGATGTTCATTTAACCGTGTGCCAAGTAGTTTGAATGAGGCTTTCCTTTCGAGTATTTCTCCCTTGACTGTGATTATAGGAACCTCATCTTTCAGACCACGCGCTGAGGACATTTGCTGAGTTGTTATTAGCATTTGCTTAGTCTTAGACCCATTAAGCAAAAGGTTTGATGAATTAGCCCATTCCTCCATGTTGCCATTTATCCTGTCTGCGATATAAGTAATTTCTTGTGGTGGACAATGATCATAAAGGGTTGTGTCATCAGCGTATTGAAAAGATGGACATTCAAGGGTATTTGGTAGATTGTTTACATAAAGGTTAAAAAATACTGGCCCTAAAATGGATCCCTGTGGAACACCAAAATGAACATTGAGAATGTTAGATTTCTTGTTGTTAATTTGGACGAATTGCTTTCGACCATTAAGATAGTTTAGAATCCAGTTTAGTGCACCATACGAGAATTCGATAGCATGAAGTCGTTCTAGCACAGTACGGTAATCAACGGTGTTAAAGGCTTTTGAAAAATCGGCAAAGGCAATCAGAGTTATTTCTCCTTTCTTCATTGCCTTAATGATGTCATCTTTTATTCGTAGTAAGATTGTTCCTGTTGAATGACCTTTCGGATAGCCAGAAATTGTGTCTTGCAGTACTTCATGTTGTTGTATATATTCTAATATTTGTACTAGGACAAGCCGTTCGTAAATCTTGGATAAGGCAGGAAGCACCGAGATACACAGATAGTGGTCAGGATCTGATGGTGAATCATTCTTCGGAATTGGTGATACTCAGGCAACCTTCCACGCTGTGGGAAAAGAAACTTTCTGCACATACTCATTGAGGATATGAGTTAATGGAGAGGCAATTATTTCTGCAACTAATTTGATAAATTTGACAGGTATTTGGTCTGGTCCAGTTGAACTGTCGGATCTCAATGACTTCAGTTGTTGCAGAACCTCCTTGTGGGTAACTTTTCGCAAACAGAATGTATCAGACATATTGTATTGTAAAGAATGAATCATTGCCTCAAGGTTATTATGAGATGTTGGAGACGTTGTGTAGTAGAATTGAAGTGTTCATTCA